CCCGGACGCCTCCCTCGGGAGGTGCTCGGGTGCCGTCCCTCTGGGAAGAGACCCAGGGGAAGACCTAGGACACGCTGGAGCGACTACGTCGCTCGGCTGGCCTGGGAACGCCTTGGGGTCCCCCCAGAAGAGCTGGAGGAAGTGTCGAGGGAGAGGGAAGTCTGGGTGTCCCTGCTCAGACTGTTGCCCCCGCGACCCGGCCCCGGATAAGCGGTTGATTATGGATGGATGGATGGATGGATGGCATGTCAGTAATTGTCTCTGTAGGGGGATGGACACCTAATAAAATCACTGCTATACTTTCTGGCAAGGCTGAGGCAAAGCATGAAATAAGAACATGAGACAATGTGACATTACGGAGCACACTGTCCATGTCCTACAGTGGAGGTGGAGAGCTGAACTAAAGACACACCGCTTCGGTACAGATGTGGATGAAAGACGGTTTCCTGAGTGCAAAAAAACTTGAAGTACCAGTGGGCATGTCTGAATGAAGCTAAAAAAGAAGGATGGCCAATATGGACAACGCTTTGGAACCATAAACAAATATGTATAAAAAACACAGCTAGACTCAACAAAATATTCTATAAATAATCATCTGTCATTACTAAGAAGAACAGTTAGTCAGGTGCTGTCCATACACTGCTGTGTCGGAGGATTTCTCTGTCTCCTCATTGTCCTCCACCTCTGCTATGTCCTCCTCCAACACGTACGGTTGCAAGCAGGGTATCTCCTCCCGATCCTCCTCCCCCACCTGTTCATTCAAAGGAATCTCTGTTGATTCAGAGTCCTGCGTACAGAGTGTTTTAGAATCAGTACAGCTGTTGTCCTCTTTCTTGTACTCTTCCTCCTCGTCTTCCTCCTCTGGTTGACTGCCACTGTCTTTCTCAGTGTCCGACTCGCAGTCCTCTTCCAGGGTGAGCTCAAACTGGAACTTGTCCCCACCAGGGGGTCGAGTGCCGTCCTCAGGCTCATCCAGTGCTGGAGAAGGACTTTGGGGGATGGTACTTTGGTACCAATCCCTGTTGTCTTCCAATGTGTCCAGGATGTCTTGGGCATCTGGATGGACCAGGTCAGCCCACGTCTCCCATAAAGGGTGAACGATATAATCGATGAAACCAACCTACAAGATACAGAAGTAAATGAAGGAGATTTATATTTCTCTCTGTGTGTGTTCACAGTGGATTGGTGTGTGTGTGTGTGTGTGTGTGTGATACCTGGCTCTTTTCTACTGAGGCGTTGTGTTTGTCACACATGGGACTGATCTCCATGCCTCGCTCCCTCTCTCGATCGCCCTGGCTGAAGAACTCCTCCATGATGCGGTCCGTCCACTGCGTGTACAGCTGCAGAGGTTTGGTGGGGTTGCTCAGGTCCGCACAGTGAACCATGTTCTGGAGAACCTAAAAATACAAAACAACAATAGGAAATAAAACACACTGCTACCTGGTCAATCACCAGAACTGCAATATTATTATCTGTCATTGTGACACATCACACTACTGCACACAACAAACTGTGACCTCTTCTTTAACCCATCACCCATGAGCAGGGGGCTTAAGCACCTGGGGAGCAGTGTGTGGGGACAGTGCTTGCTCAGAGCACCTCAGTAGTAACTTGGCAGCTGGTGGACTCAAACCTGAAACCTTCCTAACCCAAGTCCGCTTCCTTAACCACCAAGCCACCACTGCCTCATTATAGTGTGAAATTTGGAAAACAATTTTCTCCATTTAATAAATAAAACAAAACACTGACTATATTGAAGGTGTGATCCTGATGTGATAAGCAATCCTGAAATTAAAAAAAAAAGTTTGATTTTGCTGTCAGGTGACCTACAAAAGGATTTATGTGTGACCCAAAGTTGAATATTATATGAAGAAACCAATGTGCTTCAGAAAATTCAACCTGGACTTATTTAAGAGCCAAAGGCCAAAGAATGTAGACTGAGCAGTTAAATATAATTAATAAAATAACAAAATAATTAAATACACTGTGATAGTTGTGTCTGCAAATAAATCCCAACCTGTATCCTGTCAGAATAGTTGTCCAGCAACAAGACACCAGAGCTGGTCACCTTCTTGGTTTCTACCATAGTCTTCAGATCAGCCAGTAGATTCATGTGCTTTGACATGTCTGTTGCTAGCACCTTAAAAAATAATAAAATAATAAGGTCATTTAGAATTCTAACAATCACAATTAAAATACTAATTCACCAATAAAATTAAAATATTAAATAAAAGCTTTATCATAAGTAAAGTGTACATAATGTGACACATGTTCTTATTCATTTATTTTTGCACTGAACAAAGACTTACAATATCAATGACCATTTTTCGCAGTGATTGTCTTTGTTTTTTGGTCAGGTTTTGGAAGATGTCACAGTTCTCCTCCTGCAGAAGCTTGAAACCGACTGCTAAATGGTGATTCTCCAAAACAGACGAGTCATTGTACATCAATGCTAGCTCAGAATCTGCAAGGAAGACAAAAGAAATATTGGTTAAAATTTGCAAATTTACATGATTCCCCAGCACAGTATGGAAAAAAACATGTCAGATAAAAAGAAAAATATATGTACTAAAGAAATCAACTCTCGCATATTTAGTGTCACGGAATAATAAAAAAAACAACTACTGAGTGACTCCATCCTGCAGCAGAAAGCAACCACTGAGAGGTTTCCCCATTGAGGGTCATCTGAAGGTCCTCTGGCTGTATTTAGATTTTCCATTAAGATGCATTAGTCGCTTTGGAACAGAGTACAGGAAGCAGAAGGGAGAAAGGGAGACCCTGCTCTGTTTCACTGAGCAGATCAGACTGGTGGCTAATAACTAGGATGAGTCACACTCACCTTACTGCAGGGATTCCCAATTTGGCTTTATGGGAACTACACAGCACAAGAGAAATACAGTGGCTTGCAAAAGTATTCATACCCCTGGAACTTTTTCACATTTTGTCACGTTACGACCACAAACATAAATATATTTTATCGGAATTGTATGTGAAAGACCAACAGTGGCATACAATTGTGGAAAAACAGAAAAGTGCGTTGTGCAAAAGTATTCAGCCCCCCTGAGTCAATACCTTGATGAACCACCTTTTGCTGTAATCTGTCTCTACCAGCTTTGCACATCTACAGACTGGAATTATTGCCCATTCCTCTTGCCCAAAACCATTCCATTGTAGCCCTGGCTTTATGCTGAGGGCCGTCGTCCTGCTGGAAGGTAAATCTCCGCCCCAGTCTCAAGTCTTTTGCAGACCCAACAGGTTTTCTTCCAAGATTGCCCAGTCACAGAACATCTGTGTTTGTACTGAGATTAAATTACACACTGGTGGACTCTATTTAGTCATTAGGTCAACCTTCGATCATTCAGCAATCATCAGGCAACTTCTGAAGGCAACTGGATACAAAAGAATATTTTTGCACACCGCACTTTTCAGTTTTTTATTTGTAAAGGCGCTTTTAAATAAAATGTATTATTATTATTATTAACGTTGTCAGGCGTGGTTCTTTTCAGGTCATTCTATCTGCGGCAGTTAGATGACAACAGTGGTGACTGAATAACGTAATTTTCGGCACCAACAAAGACCAACACAAAGTGGCATACAGTTGTGGAGTAAAAAGAAAATTATTCATGATTTAAATTGTTTTTTTTTTACAAATAAAAAACTGAAAAGTGCGGTGTGCAAAAGTATTCAGCCCCCCAATTACAGCTGCAAATCTTTTGGGGTATGTCTCTACCAGCTTTGCACATCTAGAGACTCTTTGCTTGAGCTTGAAAGATTTGCGCTATATTTCGGTCACGGCACCAGTTGAAAAATTATTGGTATAATCAATCCGGCCCTTCTTCGTTCGTGAGCACGACACCAATTGGAGGATTTCTTCTCCCCGTAGTCACAGCACCAATATTGAATAAATCACCTTGTAGGTAGTCTCAGGCCAGGAACGAAACAGCCTGTAGATTCGTTTAATAACAAAACGCCAAAACAAACAGGTCCAAGAGCAAAATAAAACGACTGGAGAAGTATTCAAGAAAATCTCGTACAACAGTCGCCAGCACGCAAGTTCAAGAACTAAATTTCCCAGAATAACTTCCAAGAATAACTTCCAACGTATCATGTGGTTTACGCTTCTATACCTGTGTGGGGGGAGTGGCTTTTGACTTCCCGGGTGTGTGTTTAAATGTTGTAAGCCAATGGAAGACAGAGGTTAGGCCTCTTGTGGCCTATCATATTATTGTTATTGTATCATGTTTGTACCTGCAGTCACCACTATGTGGCGCAGCTGCTCCATGATTCAGCAGTGTTGGAGGACATGTTTATGAACCTTTTGTCGCTGAGTAGATGTTATCACAAAAGAAGTGGACGGAGCCTTGAGGTCTAGCAAACAACAGGGGGTTATGTAAATCAAAGGAGTGGATGGATTCGGGGTTCCCTGTAAGGATGTGGATTGGGAGGCTTCCCATTGTTCCCAGGGAGTAGAGGTGTTTTGGAACAACAGGGAGTAATCTAGAGAGTTGGTGTGAAGAGAATTTAGGAGAAATTCTCTTTGAATGTGTGGGGCTATGTGAGTGTGTGTGCTTGGGAAGGCATTTGGTGTCTTAGCAGCTTCCTGCTTTCAGACCCAAACCAAATGTGAAAACCACTAAAATCTAACAAAAAATCTTGCAATGAAGCAAAACAGCTCAAGCTCAGTCAGAGAGCGTTTGTGAACAGCGGTTTTCAGATCTTGCATCAGATTCTCGATTGGATTTAGGTCTGGACTTTGACTGGACCACTCTAACACATGAATGTTTCATTTTAAACCATTCCATTATAGCCCAGGCTTTATGTTTAGGGGCGTTGCCCTGCTGGAAGGTGAATCTGCACCCCAGTCTCAAGTCTTGCAGACTCCAACAGGTTTTCTTCCCAGATTGTCCTGTATTTGGCTCCATCCATCTTCCCATCAACTCTAACCATCTTCCCTGATCCCTGCTGAAGGTGAAGCACCCCCAGAGCATGATGCTGCCATCACCATATTTGACAGTGGGGATGGTGTGTTCAGAGTGACGTGCAAGTGACGTGTTAGTTTTCTGCCACACATAGCGTTAAGCATTTAGGCCAAAAAGTTCAATTTTGGTCTCATCTGACCAGAGCACCTTCTTCCACATGTTTGCTGTGTCCCTCACATGGCTTCTGGTAAACTACAAACGGGACTTCTTGTGGTTTTCTTTTAACAATGGCTTTCTTCTTGCCACTCTTCCATAAAGGCCAGATTTGTGCAGTGCATGACCAATAGTTGTCGTGTGGACAGATTCCCCCACCTGAGCTGTGGATCTCTGCAGTTCATCCAGAGGCACCATGGGCCTCTTGGCTGCATCTCTGATCAGTGCTCTCCTTGTTCAGCCTGTAAGTGTAGGACTGTGTCTTGGTAGGTTTTCAGTTGTGCCATACTCTTTCCATTTCTGGATGATGGACTGAACAGTGCTCCGTGAGATGTTCAAAGCTTGGGAAATCTTTTTATAGCCTAACCCTGCTTTAAATTTCTCCACAACTTTATCCCTGACCTGTCTAGTTTGTTCCTCGGACTTCATGATGCTGTTTGCTCCCCAATATTCTCTTAACAAACCACTGAGGCCGTCACAGAACAGCTGTAGTTGTACTGAGATTAAATTACACATTGGTGGACTCTATTTAGTCATTAGGTCAACATTCGATCATTCAGCAATCATCAGGCAACTTCTGAAGGCAATTGTATGCACTCAAAAAGGAGCTGAATACTTTTGCACACTGCAGTTTTTATTTGTAAAAAAAAAAAATCATGTATAATTTTCTTTCTACTCCACAATTGTATAATTGTGTATCACACCCGGGTTTCAGTCTGTGACTGATTGTAAATAGACACCAGAAGCACCAATGAGCTACTGATGTAGCTGTTAAGACAGAGCTGTATTTAGACTCACTCGTGTTGATGAGGAACTGATTGGAGACTCCAGGATGGTCCACGTCATGGATTGCACTGGCGAAGATGGCAGCTAAGATTTCTAGGTCAGTGAACACAGCCTAACAAAAAAACAACCCTGCAACTAAGAGTCATTGATTAAAGTCAAATTAAAGAGTTTGATTGAAGCTGATTGTGGAAGTGTGGATGCATGTGTGTGAGTGCACCCGTGCATGTGTTCATCTGCACCTCACCTCCAGGGCAGGGGTGGACGGCATCACGTGAGTTGACTGGGTGACGTGAGCGGCGGGGATGTTGTTGTGGTAGGCGACGTCGCCATGGTAATGGTCTTCTAAGGTCATCAGGTATGTTATAAAGGTGTCGAGTGGAATTTTAAAAGTTTTTAACAAGTCCCTCTCCTGTAAACAGCACATTAAAATAATAAGTTGAAGGCCAAAGCCATTGTTGGATTCAGGTGGAGCAACGGGGAATAAGAAAAGAGTTGAAAATCGTCACCTGGACTATCGTATACATTATGACTGTTAACGGCCGGTTCCCAGAGAACTCTGAGATTTTAAAGACATTAAGACCCCATTTATTCACATTCTCCAATTCCTGCCAAACAACAAAAGGCATAATAAAAATAATTATTTTTTTCCCCCTGAATTTCACTCTTTACACTTATGAAGGACACACAAACGCACCTTAGCCAGCTCATCCTCTGTTTCTGTTTTAACACCAAAGCGAGGGATATTAGAGTTTGAGAGGCTGGAGGAGTGTTGCAGCTTTTTCACCCCACTGATCTGAGACATGGGTTTGTTCTTCTTCTCCTTCTCCTTCTGCATCTGAGGCGACGTCATCTCCACCTCATGTTGCTTGTCTGGTCACATGTGGAGGAATAGAGGTGGAAATTTAATGTGAGGAAATTCTTGTGATGGTCATTTGTTTTTTAATGGCCAGTGCGATCAACATGAACTGTTCCTGTCAATGCTTACCCAAGAAGGTGCTTGAGATGAACTCAGACACCTGGTTTCCAGAGCGGCTCATCTCTGATAGGTGGGTCAGCTCCCTGTTCAACATCCTCTTGAACTACAGAAGAAACACGGACACAGGAAGAATTGTTAGTCAGTTGTTTACTGGCTGTCAGAGAAGAAACTAGAATTTTCAATGTACACCACTAAAACAATCACATCTTATTCATCGAGAGAGTCAAGAAAAAGATAATAAGGTCTAAATGACCTTATTATCCACAGACAGACCCGGACTAAGTTCATCTTAGTCTGATTTGTCCACAACCAGGCCGACTTCCTTCATACTCAGTTTTAAAAGCTATTAAATTTAGGATATGCTCAGAGGATGCTGCCTTCCCATTACAGTAAACTGCACGAATGATGAAGATGTAATTTTGTGCATAGCTGCAACTACAACAGAGAATGAGCATGAGCAGGTGGAGCACTTCCTTTGATCACTACCTGGGACACACCAACCAGGTGGTGAGGAAAAGACATCAGAAGACATCTCACCTGTATGTGAATGAAAGACGGCAAAACTACAGATAGCAGGGCAATAAATATGGAAGACAGGTTTGTGGATAAACAGCTAATCCATGGATATCTTCAGATTATGTGACAATAGTGCCACAGAAGGATGTAGACTGCCTTACTCACTGAGTTTTATCAGAAAGAATGGAGATTCTGATAAATTCAATTTTAGGTAAAAACGCCAAGATAAAGCATGTGATGCAAAGAATCCACAATTTTCTAAAATGATCGACTTCCTGAGGAGTATTTACCTCTAAGCTGTTGCATGTTTTTGACAACACTAAGCATTGTTGACTGAATCAATGATTTTTTTTTTCAACTGTTTTGGAGATTTGAGAATCATTTTAGAAGACGTGCCTGGTTCTTGAAACATAAGTTTTTCTCAACATCTAATGCTTAGATGCCAACATAATGAGAACAGGGTTAAGGATGAATAAATGAAAATAAATTTTAAATGGAATGTTATAGGGCAGTGGTGGCTTAGTGGTTAAGGAAGCGAACTTGAGTCCGGAAGGTTCGAGCCCACCAGTTACCACTGAGGTGCTCTGAGCATGGCACTGGCCCCACACACTGCTCCCCGGGCGCTTAAAGCTGCCCACTGTTCACTTTGATGATGGGTTAAAAACAGAGGTCACATTTGCTTGTGTGCAGTGTTGTGCTGTGTTGTGCTGTGCTGTGTCACAATGACAAGTAGTTCACTTTCCTTTTCCTTATTCATTTTGACTAGGACAGGGATAGAAAAACAGAAACTGTATCCAAGATGTCATCACAGTTAGTCAGAGACATGCTGTCTGAGATAATAAATGTAATTTCTAACCCTTCTTCACCTCTGTCTCTCCTCTCCGCCCTGCACCTAATTGGAGTGGCTCACGCCAAATTTAGCTGTCTTTTGATTGGAAAGGTCAACTAATTGACATGGAGTAGGATGCTCGGAAATCAGGGAATGTCTTAATTGCTTGCATAACCTTGGTTATCAAACAGATTGCAAAACAGCAAAAAAAAAAAAAAAAATAGCTTGACTAAAGCCAATACACTGTTTCACTGTCTTTCCCAATGTACCGTAAAATTAACTCTACATTTTATTGATTCATTATATACACTGATACAAAATCCTGTAAATGGACAATTACAATGGTCCAAAATGCTAACTGTGCATTTGTGTGTTGACATCCTTTTGAATAACACCCAGAGGCCTTTGCTAAGAGGCTTTTTAAAATGGAGACACAAGAGTCAAAGAGGCATCAGTGCTTTTGAGTTTTTGTCTGGTGATATAAGAGCAGGCAAGTGACTAACAATGCTGCTATTGTGTTAGTCACAGGTTACAAAAAATAGGAAACATTTGTATAAAAATATTAACCAAAAAACAAAGACAAATTTGCCTGGCTATATTGTACAGGTACTGTTGACTCACGAACCATTGCTTTAACAATTAAACATGCTTTAGATACAGAACTATCTTAAAAAAAATGAAATTCACCATGTTTTTCTGCCCAGTACATTTAGCCATCTAGCGATAATTTTGCATACACTGGAGCATCATAATGTCCTCTAAACACCATTAATCTTTAACGAATAATGGCTCTGTTATAAGTGAAAAGGACAATGGAAGTTTGTCAAATCTATCAACAACACATTCCAAAGAATCCAAGGTGTTTGATATTTAAATTCATATAAATTAATTTTCTCAAACCCTAAATAAGTCACCTTTAGACACTAAAACAATAACAGAGCCATATCTATATGTACCTCTCTGGAATATGGTCATTGCTCAATCATTTTGTCTACAGTGCAGCATCATCATCACCTCTACCAGTTTATCATTTATAATTCATGGCTTCAAAAAAGTCACACAAGAAGCAAAGCTTTTTCAGTCAAATCCATAGATTATAATATTCTAAACAGTGAATAGAAAACTCAGCATATTACGTTTATATAGCCCCAGGAAACAGATAGAAGATCATTTGCTTCAGGCATTTTGGTAAGAATATAGGATGGGACAAAAACAAGACCAAACTGTATATTTATAAGCAGAAATACAGCCTAGTTGAGGAAAGCATAGCAAAAACTAATAATCCTAAGATCTGTCCAGGAAAAGTATTCCACATGTACAGCCCTGTGAGCTCATTTCACTGTAAAACAAGGCGATGCTGTCCATAAATGCAACATCCTGGTTCTGTCCTGTTGATATCCAAAGACACTAGTCAATTTCCGAGGATAAGCAGGTTCTGAGAGGAGATGCAGGAATGTTGTTCCACAGAGATCTGATGAAAGCATATCATGACCTCACACACTGTGATGCGCACACACACAGTCTCAAACAGGGACACACTGCTGAGGTTGTGAATAATTGATGATGGCACAGAAGCTAGTTAGATGCCAGAGCAATGGGACATCAATGTTTTTCAGTCATCAGCTTCCAAACAGGGCTGCCCGTCTGAGTGCCTGCTACTGTGGCAACGATGACACCAGCTCGCATGTAAAGAGCACAAGCTGCTTCAGTCACTGTCTCACGCCAACATCAGCCAATCAGTGGCCACATTTGGAAGAAGTGTGAGCTCATCACAGCTTCTCATTGGCTTGGTTTGGTCCTGACATGAAGATTGGCTGGAACTGAAGCCAGTTGAAAATCACTCTGTTCAATTTTGTCATTCCTGTGGTGGGATAGGATTTGTGTGTGTGTGTGTGTGTGTTTGTGTGTAAGAGATTGTGAGTGTAGCTGTGTCCCTCATGGGGATCAAAGCCTTCTGAGGCTCTGGTTAGGTTTTATTATGATACAGTATTAATATGAACAAGTGTAAACCGTGCTGGTTAGAAGTGCTGGTTACCTCATCCAATGTCAAACAATATTAAAAAGGACCAAGGTCAGCTTTGACCTCCATATTCACGTTGGTGTGAGTCACTGCTGAAATGAAGTACACAGAAAAAACTAAAAAACTATTAATGCTGTCAAAGAATGAGCCACATAATCATTTGTATTGGTCTCAGTAGCAACGAAAGGTTCATGGTGACAACACAGACTGTGCCTCATCTCGTGAGCACGAGAAAGTATATCTAAGACATTTTGCCACACAAACATACATGGTAATACATTATAAAAACAAATCATGAACAGTACATACGGTTGGGAAATCTAAGATACCAGCATGTCATGCGTGACATGCTGCTCACGGGACCCGGCTGGGCTCAGCCCAATCAAGCGACGTGAGTCCAGTGGGCCCACCACCCGCAGGAAGGCCCACAAGGGGCCGGTGCCTTGTGATTTGGGTGGCGGTTGTGGGCGGGGACCCCGACAGCCCAATCGCTGGACAACCACTCTGGCTATGGGAACATGGAAGAGCCTGAGCTCGTGTGGGAGGTTGAGCGATACCGACTGGATATAGGC